AGTTTCTCCATGAAGCAGAGTCCTTTTTGAGAAGCTAGTAGTAGCTCAGCTATGCAATATACATGACTCTAAAGGCTTAAAATTTGTTGAATAACTATTTCCTTGAAATTGTGCGATAAAGTTGGATGTTATACAGATTGAGATTTCTAAAGCCAGGTTTGTAACCTATTACACAGTCCATGTTAAAAGAGTATAAGTCTGTTTTACGCATTTATCTGAGTTCTTATTACAGCTTACAGAATTTTCCAAGACCAGCTCATTATTCAACCGGTCGAAATAATCCCTGCTTTTACAGAACGTGAAAGTGCCTGTACCAAGTTTACAAAATCTGGCTTGTGGACTCTTACGTCGACTAATTAAATCGACCTTACACTCACTTGCTTTGTTTTTGTTGTGTAAGAATTAAAGTGTGTAAATGTGTTTGGCTTGGTTTATACCTATTGTCTGGATGTTTAAAAATAGCACATTGTTTCGAAAGTCTGTTTTTCTTCCATCTTCATGGAACAGGAGGACAAAAGCCTTATCTGTTGATTACTTTATTTTACCTACTCTCAAACCTTTACGAAGATCACCCTGAAGAAGGAAGTATAAGGGCCTTACGAAACAGTGTTTTTAAACACCTAGATGATGAATAAGTCAAAAACAAAAATTATTCACGGCGTATCGCACCATTTTCAGAAAGCATAAAACTTCATTAAGTAAAGTATAGGTGGGTGTATGTTGGGAGCTCAGATGTTCCTAACTTCAGACCTGTCATAGCCGAATAAAAATGAGTCATTGTGTGTATCCCACGCCCATTTTGTCAACTGTCTCAATTATTCATCCTGCTAAAAACATTTTCATCAAAAAGTACGTAATACACAAAACACACGTCTGTTATAGTCTGAGGGGGGTTCATGGACTCATGGACCTGCGCTTCAAGCACGCACGCAAGTGTGTGTGTGTGTATTTGGCCAGTTTCTAATTCCAAAATGTAGCAACAATGTGAGTAGTTTTTATCTCCACTGTCTGAGGACATTAAGATCAAAATAATCTTGCCTGTTGTTTTGATTTCAGAAACAATTGGTCGCCCAGCGGCATTAGTGAACGGAGTGGTGAGGAAAATAGTTCCAGGGAGAAAACAATGAAATTGTCAACGCATGTTATGCTCCTACTTCCAACGCACTTTGAATTTGTACGACAAATGGAAAGAATGTTCTTCGAAACATTTTCTATGTTTGGAGCATTAAAAAAAACAATTTACAGCAACTAAAATAATTATCTTCGTAATATTCAGACCATGAAATCAGAACGATAGGGACGGGAACAAAGTGCATCGAAGTAATTCCAGTTATCGACACCAGATGACAGAAGGTGTCGGACCGCGTCTGCATCACTAGAAGCGCTTGTATTTATTGCCAAGACGAGATAAGTGGACGCATGCGACATCTGTTGAGAATAGTTGGTATTAACTTCATTGAGTGTGCATCGAAGTAAGTCCGCTTATTCTCAAGAGGTGTCAGAAAGTGTTGGAATTCCTTCCGTTCACGTTGAATGATGTTTATACCTTATCCTATCAATAGATTTTAGATGCGTCCACTTGTTATCATGTAAATTAAGATTGGATGGTAATATTTTATAATGTAAAGAATGCTTTGTTCCAGTTACTTGTGACACCTACTGTGGAAGGTAGGAATTACGTCGGTTCCCATTGAAATTGGTACAGCCTGTTGTCAATAGATGTCGTACATGTCCACTTATCTTGTGTGTATGTCAATGACCGTGAACTTGAAGTTGAGATGATAAAAGCCATTGTAAGTCACGCAACATATTCGGCACTGATTTGTATTACATAGACGGGTTAGGCTCGATGCACACGAGCGAGTTATTTTCGCGAGCTCGCCGCGTCATTTTCTCGCGCGTTTTAGCAGTACATGTGAAGCAATGGAGCAATGCACACTATGGCGGTGACGCCGCGAGGACGCGGCGAGCAATTTGCGCTCGCCAACCACTGCTGCTTCGCAGCGAGTTCGCCGATCGCCGCGAAGCAGCAGACTGTG